GAGCAAGGTTCAATCAGGCATCGGCGAGGTATCCTCAACCAAAAAAGAGAAGAAAACCCAGCACTGTGAGAACCTGCAAAACTACTTTTTGAAGAGCGACTGGGATGAAATGGCTGCAGACCCTGGCATATTGAAGAAGTGCATGGTTATGGGCAATAGAATGGCGCATCTAGGTCTGGTGAACCCAGATGAGCAAACTTCGGTTGCTGTAGGTGGCCATTGCCTATGTGGTCGCCCACAAAGGCCCCATGGATGAGCTTCGGGTCAACCCCATGAATGCTTTGGGCACGGTCCGTGACTTCAAAGGGCACATCCGCAGCTTGAAAGGCTTTAAGAAGTCAGATATTTCTGTCTTCCCCGCAGACCCTGCTGAGCTTCCGGAAGACATGCTTCGCAGAGCCTATGGTCAGCAACTTCCTCTCCCGTGCCAGGTGGACCAGATGGCAGTGAAATATTTGCGTGATATTCTGCCTGCAAGGGACACGCATGCTTCCATACGGGGTATGTGCGGGAAGCCTACGTTGCAAAACTTTCGACCCAGCAGTGATCTGGGCCAGGCGTTGCAGCTCGTGAAAAATTTGTTTTCCGGCCATCATGATCCGAAGGGGGAAGTGGCCCTCACCATGCTTCCGCCAAGAAAGGCAAAGACACTTCTTGCTTTGGAGGGAGGCCCTATGGCTTCTGGAGGCAGTTCACATCAAACGCCTTCAGCGCCGACGCCTTCAGCGCTTGCAGCTATAGAAGCGCCTGATGCAGTGGAAGCGCCACCCCAACATGAAGGAGCAGAAGAAAGAGAACAGCAGGAGGAAGAGCAAGCGAAGGGCAAGCCTCACCAGAAAGATGTCCAGCAGATGGCCAATGAGATCCTGCAAGCGATCGGTGAAAAGCCACCAGCAAAGTCACAAGCAAAAGCCAAAACTTCGGCGCAGAAGAAGAGCGCCCCCAAAAAGAAACCGGCAGCTGCGGCAGGAGCTGGGCCTCCTAGCAAGAAACAAAAGGAGACGCTTCCTTTTCCTGGACAGGGCCCTGGCAAGCCACTTCATTATGAAAATGTCACAATATATCTGTGCCCAAAGTCGTGTTCCTACAGGGTGAAGCTGGCCGGGGACAAGAAGGACAAAGCCTTCAGCTGGAAGATGGATAGCCCAGAGGCAGTGTGGGGCCGAGTGAGACAGCACGTTCTTTCTCTTGCTGGGTGAAGGCTCGCCTCACTCACGCACGCGCTTGCCGAGGCTCGCCCGGCTTTGACTTGCTGGCCATCGCACCGTTGGAAAAAAGCATTTGCATGACCTGCTTTTGTTTAGTTCCCGCATGGTTTTTCAACTTAACATAACATGTTTTTTGCAACCCTCGTGCTCCAAACGTGGTCAATCCTCGTGCGTTAATGTGGCTGCGGAGCTAAGTGGTCCTAAGTCAGTTATAACTCCCGCTAAGTCCGCAGGAAAACAACGTAACCTAAGTGGTTATAAGTCTGGTTACAACCTAGATAAACCCAAAAAGCGCCAAAGTAGGGAAGGTTCCTGATTCGTATTCGTCACATGGAATATATGATGTACCCTGGGTTCATGTGCGTTGAAATAGGGCAACCTGCGAAAGACAAAGAGACCTCCTGTAAGCAAAGGTCTATTCTCACATTGCACCGAGGCTATTGTGGGAGATCGACTCATTCACCTAAAATGGGCACCGGCATCAGGACAATCCGCAAACTACCTTAATTCCATAACCAAATAATTACATGCAGAACTGCTGAAGAAAAGACTGATACAAGGACAATTCACTGAGGTTTCTTCTTTAGCGCCTTTCAAATGGTGGACCTGGTTTACACACCATGGCAACACTGTAAAATTGGTCTTTTCAACATCGTACACCCACAGAATTGCACCCCTCGAAGTGGCGTGTTAACATCCCCACACATAAACATCCCCAAACGATCCAAACGCTATATGGGCTACGTTTGAAAAAGTTTGAAATGGTTTCAGTGGCGAATGTAAAATTTAAACTCATTAGTATATATATATTTACAGTGATATACATATATAACTATAAACATAAAAAAATATATATAACATATATATATATACATTCATATTCAACTATTTATATGGAGAATTCGGATGTACAAGATTACAGGATGCAACATTACATCCTCGCAAGGCGATCACGATGATGTGGAACCGAGCTTTCTTTTTCAGAGTGGCGTAAAAGGCATCTCCCGAGGTGACCCCGTCACACTCGTCATCACCTCGGCCATGGTTGGCTCAGCCAAAGGAGCCGCGAAAAGGAATTGAACTTTTCCAACTCCCACACACCTGTATGCTGTACACCGCATTCTGTTCTGGGAAAAACACCAGCAATTGTCATAACAAACGAAGAACTGCTGACCTTTTTTTCCGCAATTGACCAGTAGGTCACCAGGTCCCAATTCTAACACAAGATCTGACGCCTTGCTCGCGAGTCGAATAGGCAGCACGAGAACACCTGGGCATCGAATCTCGAATTATTGGACTGTCAAATCTTGAAAAGCGTTCTGCAATAATATGGGGTGGTCAATCCTCCAAAGCCCTTGCTCATAATTGTTCATCCTGAACCCGGGATTTTCAGAACACCGAAGGGCCTCTGACTTGGCCAGGTCAAACCACATCTTCACATCTACTGTCCACACCGCTCTCCACAACCCGCCCAGCATCGGTCACCCCTCTCTGTGGGTTGTCCGGTCATCCGCTTGTGGAGAGTTGGGCCTGTTGGGGCCCCAACTCTGGGAGACCAGGGCCAGACCTCTGACTGAGGGGATTTGGTTTCATCTTTGTTCATCATGTTTCATCCACATAACATGAACCGAATCCCAGTCTCCGAAGCCAAACGACTGTTCGATAGCCGTCAAATATCGTCAAATATGTCAAATACTTTGCTTCGAGTAACCCCCACCGTGACAGTTCAATCATTTGTATTCATGCCATGGTGAGGAGCATGTTGCCATGGTCCGGGGCTTTGTGGTTCTCGATTTTGCTTGTGGGTCCTAGAGAGTTGTTGCTTTAGTGTTGGGGAGTTTGCCTCGGGGTGTCGCCAGGGTCTCCAGTTGGCATCCAATTGTCCGACCCTGTGACCACCTGCCACGCAAAGAACCACGCACACAGACACGTAATTATATTGTTGTGTTGTGTTGTGGTTGTGCGTTGTGGTTGTGGATGTGTTTGTAGTTGTGTGTGTGCGTGTTGCGGTTGTGTGTGTGTGTCGTGGTTGTGCGTTCTGGTTGTGTGTTGTGGTCGTGTGTTGTGGTTGTGTTGTGTGGTCGTGATTGTGGTGGTGGTGTGTGTGTGTGTCGTGGTTGTGTTTGGTGCGCTTTGTGGTTGTGGCTGTGTTTGTGGTTGTGTGTTTGCGGTTGTGTGTTGTGGTTGTGTGTTGGGCTTGTGATTTTGGTGGTGCGTGTGGTGGTTGTGTTTGGTGGTTGTGCTTTGTGCCCACAGAACCTCTGGCGCTTGCTGTTGAGGTCCGAGCGCAGTGGAGTCGAGAACTGGAGTGGAGTCGAGCGGAGGAGGAGTCCAGCGGCACCAGACTTAAACATCTAACAACCCTCACCTCACTCACAATTTCATGGGAATCGGAATAACACATACTCTCTGCCCAACCCTCTCTCCCTCCGAGATGTGCTTCTCGCATCGACTCTCTGCTTCATCCAGGTTGCAATAGCAAAGATCAAGCCACGCAGAAATGGGCTCACCGCTCAAGAAGCTTGGCCCTGCGTGGACCACATGGACCACAGGAAAAAACAACACGTGAGCTCGGGATACTGACTGATACAGACCAGACCAAACCAACACCAAAGAAGACAAGGTGCTCCATATTAGTCCTGACAGGGTTTCCAGTTGCAACTTGAAGTCATTGATTGGACCCTCCTCCTGAGCCAGCTCGGTCGGGTCCAGCGGACCCACCGCGCCTAGCACGAGATCGTTGAAGACCTTGGATGCTGGATCAGCACCTCACGAATTGCTCGATCGCCGGGCACCGGTCGCGACCGGTCTCGGCGGCAGGAGTCCAGCTTCCGGGAAGCTGGAAGCCACCAGTTCATCTGAGAGAGGAGAGGACTCGGCTCGTAAGGAATGAGGGGATCCAAAGGAATCTCTACACTGGGGGCACCAGTCAGTTTGGGAGACACCATACAAACACACGCAAGCGAAGTGGATGGAAGGGAATCATTGGATCACCATTTGCTGGTGTTTGAGGATCAGGTGTTCTGCAAATGCTGATGAGAGATTCGCTGTTGGAAGAACTAGCAAATGTAACAATGTAATAAGTGGATGTCCGGTTTTCTTCCAACAGTTCTAAACCCAGGGAAGGCACCAAACATGGAGAGTGTGTGTGGGGAGAGAGAGAGAGAGAGAGAGAGAGACAAAGAGAGACAGAGAGAGAGAGAGTGGGAGAGAGATAAAGAGAGGTGGAGAGAAGGAACTCTTCTCTAGCAGGTGAAACTTTTTAGAGCTCCCCCGCCTGCTCCAAAACAAAACATCCAAGCTTGCCGCTCACAACCCAGCCTCCTGTCAAGCTGCAACTGCTGGCGCTCACACAGTTGGAGGGCCTCCGCTCGAATGAACCCAATGAACCCAATAAACCTGTTTGACACCTTTGTTTGGCATAGACACACTACAGCCAACGGTCAACAAAAAAGGCACCCTCCCCGAAAGGACACGGCCCCCTGGTCAAGACCAGTGTTTCTGTTGTTCCATGTAAGTTTTCGGGGTTTGGACAATTTCCATGTGTTTCTTTCTACTCCTCGGATCATTCTCCCAGTAGATCGATGGGCACCACAAGCATTTGCATCGAAAAAAGGGATCTTTTCACATGCATTTGGTACGTGGGTATACCGGTGCTAGCATGTCTCCTCCCAAGGGCCCCTTGGAAGAAGGAACATAGATAAAACCTTCAAAACCCGTCGGTTGGGAGCATCCTGGTTCGAGTGGCTGAATCCTACCAGCCGGTGGTGCGGTCTCCGCGAATCTTCAGCCATGGAATGGTTGCACGGTGGCCAGGCAAGGCTGCTTTTTGGAGATCCTGGCGATGTGAATGAGGTGGCTGCCGTGGTTCTGCCTAGTCAGACCAAGGTCACGATTGCGCTTGATGAGGGATGGAAAGCACACTGCTTTGCTGGCCGTGAAGGTGTGCTGAAAGCATATGGTGTTGCTTGGCAGGGTGACTCGATTCGCCTGACTATGAAAGAGGGATCCATCCTTCTTTTGCACCCTTCGGTGCACTCAGGAATCTCGATGGTCCTTCGGGTGGTTCTCGGGTTTGGGTGGTTGGCATTGTGGCCTTCAGCTGGCGGCTAAGGGCGCAAAGATCATGGTGGACTTCGATGAGGAGGTGTGCAGAGTTGCTCGACAGAGGTTGAACCGAGCATCCAGCTGCCAGAGCAAAGTTTTGACCCCTGAGGCTTTCTTGGCTAAGGCCTTGGCCTGTGAATGTGGGGTGACTGAAGTCATTTGTGGTCGTACGGATTCCCCCGTCATCCATCAGGGGATGGGCCTTTTGAACCTGTCTGTGGGTTTTTGTTCCCCTCCATGTCAGCCATGGGCGGCTTCTGGCAACAGCGAGGGTGTCCAAGGGTCAAATGGTCAAGCTTTCTTGCAGATGTTCGCATTCCAGGTTGCCCTAAGCATCCTGACTTTGTGCTGTTGAAGGAGAAGGCTGACAAGCATGGTTATATGCTTTGGTTTGTAGTGGAACTCATGATGTCCAAGCTGTGCATCCCATTGTTCGTGAACGATGGTTGGGTGTCTGGTGTCGAAAGGCCTACATCTTCTATCCTGACGTGAAGTTGGCCAATAGTTTGAATTGGGCTCAACCCCACATTTGTGTCCCGGCTACAGCCTTGTCTCTGGCCTCGGAAAGTGCTATCCTGACAGGTTTGAACTCGGCTGATCTCCAGGCTCTTCGACCCTCTGTTGAGGCTGTGGAAATGTTGAGCCGTGCTGACCTTCTACCTTCTCGCGACGGGGGTGGCAAGTTGTTCAATCCGGCCCATGTCTTCGAGGCGAGGGTACGTTCGCCACACCAGCCCTTGATTGCTGCAATGGCATGTTATGGCAACCAGCACAACTTGCCGGTCAACTTGTTGAAGCGAAAGGGCTTGATGACGCACCTTCTGAGAGTTGATGGTGTTGTGAGGTGTTACCACCCCATGGAGGTGATTGCTGCTCAGGGCTTTCCAAGTGACACAGTCCTCTCAGCTGACTTTGCGGAGGCTCACAAGCAGGCAGGTAACAGCTTGGCCATTGGGCATGCAGTTCTTGGCCTTCTCAAGGTGCACTTCATCGCCCTTCACTCCGTTGGCTGACCTTTCTGAGCTTGCTTTGAAGATTGAGGATTCTAAGATGCTGCTCACAGGCAATGTCATTCGGGTCCAGGACAATTGCATGATGGTTGTGCCGGGGGACAGTGCTGAGGCCTCTCAATCGGCTTTGAAGAAGAGAGCCTGCTGTGGTTTCCCCGACGTTGCCCATGTTGGCCTTGGAGCCATTCTCAACTACTACATTGGCTATGGACCCTGAGTTTCGACTTGCACATCAGCTTGACATTGATGCCCGGGTTGTTGGTGCCAATGCCACTGGCGGTGTGATCTTCCTTCGGCATTGGGAGAAGCACTGGATTGTTTTGGCTCATGGACCTGTCCAGGATACTTTGGCCCATTTTATCACGAGAGCGCTTCCGCATGCGAGAAAGGAGCACTTTGTGACTTTCTGGGATGGTGCTGCGGAGATTGAATGGGAGACCCTCCTGATTGCTTGCCCGGCTAAGGCCATCTTGTTTGAACCATTGCGAAAGCACATCAAATGTGTGGTTGGTGATCATGGCTGTCAGCTCAATGCGGATGTGACTTGGAATGTCACCAGTGCTTTGGCTTGTGCTGCCGTGGCTCTTCAATGTCACCCAGGGGCCATCATGTTGCTTGACAATGGTATCCCTCTCAAGGCGGATGACTTCCTGTTTGAGTTTGACACTACGGAATTCCAGATTGCCTTTCGCATGATCGCTCCTAGCTATGTGCATGCACAGGTTGAGGCTTCCCAGGAAGATTCAGGCCTTCGCCCTGTGGATACATCCTGTGTCCGCCTCTTTGCGCGACACCCGAATAGGAAGGTCGTTCGGTCATGTATGGCTACCATGAGCTCCAAGGTCAATGATGTGGTGAGAGATCTGTTTGTGGATATTGCCTCCTCCACTTCTTGGCGTATGGTGCTGAAGGGGCAGTTCATGCCGGATCAGATGACTATCCACGACCTTGTTGCCACTGGATGCCAGAGCTTTGAGGTTGAATGGGATACTATGGCCCCATGGAGATCGGTGTGTGTGAGTCTTGATCAGGCCCATTTTCACTATGGTTCAGCTCTGTTTCATCAGCTTCATCCGGATGTTCCCTGTGTCAAACGCTGGGTGCGATCTCCGTTCAAGGCCAAGCCTGATGTCCTGGCTGTCCCGCATGATGTGCCTGTGGGCCAACTTGGTGCCAGTTTTCTGTCGCACACTCGCATCAATACTTCCATCCTTTGCCTATGTGGTAGCCATGTGATTGACCCTGTTGCAACAGTTGCTGATGTTCCTGAAGCTGAGGTTCTCACTTTCCGTTTGTGCCCTCTCATGGTTTGGATGAGGCCCTAACCTCTGCTCTTTTGGACCATGGAGTTCCCAAGGAAGCTGTGCAGGCTCGGGTGAGAATCATCAAAGACAAGTGCAATCCGGAGAGCTTGAAGGATGCTTTGCAGGATGCTGATAAGTTCTGGCCTCGTCTCAAAGAGGTTGCCAATGATGCTCGAGTCCGCTTGGTCACTTCTCAGGAGCTTGCGGACTGGAAGAAGACTTCGGCACAGAAGCCCCCAGCGTCGGTCAACAACCGGCCCACTAAGAAGGTCAAGTTTTCTGGCCCAGAGGTCCGCGCTGACTTGATTGATGTCTCCATGGAGCACTTCAAGGTTGGTCAGGAGGGCCTTGCCATCATGAATGCTAGTGAAGCTCGCTTGGCTATGAAGCAACAGGTGCGGTCTTGTGGAGCTTTGGCCATCCTGGTCGTTGGTTCTGATTTGAAGGCTTTTCCGACCCTATTCAGATTCCAGCGCGTTGGAAGCGTGACCGATCCCCCTGGCACTCCGTGCTGTGTTGCTCAACTTTGGGGACAAGCCTGTCGAGTATTGTGCTGCGGTTCCTGTTCTGCAGGTTGCTCAAGTTGAAGCCACGGTCATTGAGTTCTGCATTGTCCGGAAGTATACACCCACGTGGCCTGACACTGCTATTCCATTGAACTATTTGGGCAAACAGGTGACCATGCTGAGGGGTCCAAATCTCCTCTCCTACTGGTCCATCAGATGCTTTGGAGATGATAAGAAGCCTTGTGGCCATCAGAAGGCCATCATGTGGAAGGGCTACATCAAGGTTGCTGGACCAGGTCTTGGCAAAGTCGGGTGTGGCTGGTGTCTTCTTCACTCCTAAGGGTGCTGATCATCGTGCAGATGGACGCTTTGTTCCTATTCCTTTGACTGCAGGCTCATTGGATGATGCTGTCTCCAAGGCAGCTTTGTGTGAGCATGGCTTGGGCATTGCTTTATGGGGCGACAAGTTTGCTGTGCGCACCAGGCGTGAACATGCTGATGAGGTTCGCAAGATTGTCAGCCCGGATGCAACCTATGTTGAGGTCCCCTCTATCTCGGATGATGAGAGCCTCTATGTCCTGAAGAATGTCCCGGGTCAACCGAGTCGTGACCAGTTGACTCAAGCCTTAGTCTGCCAAGGTCGTCAAGCCACAGGGCATGTCATCGTTGTTGGTTGCTGCCAAGGATCCTCCCAAGTGCCAGCACATTGGGGTCAATGGTTCGCTCGTGGTCATTGAGACGATGAGAAAGCAGTCAGGCGGACAATCTAGTCTGACTATGACGGCCAAACACGTCCATATGAGCAGGTGTACCACGACAGACCCGACCACCAAGATTCAGCAGGTTTCTGCGGCTGCCCGCATTACTGAGGTCAAGTGTGAGATTCAGGCACAAATTGCGGCAGAGATCGACGCCCAGATGAAGCAATCGAATGAGAGAATGGACAGGTTGGCCCTTGACATGGCCAAGGCTCAGCAAGCTACTGCTGAGAAGCTTCAGGAGACACACAAAGACATGCAGTTGGATGAGGGATGAGGCGGCCTTCACTCGCCAGAAACTGGGTGAGTTCGAGAAATCGTCCACTGCGACCGCTCAGACATTGGTGAGCTCAATGGAGAAGATGATGGCACGCATGGAGTCGAGCATGGCTTCCAGGCTGGATACGGGCCAGGAAGGAGGTTGACAGTGCTCTGTAAAGATGTGGGTGGGGCCAACTCCAGCGGCTTTGCAAGAGGAGTGGGCCCTGGGCCCTTTGGACGAGTGCATGGAAATTCTTTGCTGTCCTAAGTCTGGTGTGTCCTTTCACATCGGCTAGCACTTTGACAGTTTCGCAATCACAGTTTGACAAAACATGCTTTAATTCGAGATCCAATTCGATGCTGTATTCAGTTTTTCTACATGGGATGAGGGTGCTTCGTGTTCTCTACATCAGTGGTGCCTTTTTCCCTGCGAGATTGCATGGGTGCCTTGGTCTCATCAACGCCTGGGAGAAGCCCATCATCCAGGTCCTCTTTCAGTTGGCAGTTTCAACCCAACTCAGCTTTGGGGGCATGTTCCGACTATCTCCAAGTGGGGTCTCGGCATTTGGGGTGCGAGTGAAACCAGTGCTACAGCGGAGGCTCTTACTAGCATTCGTGCTGACTGCAGGAAGGCTGGTCTTTACTTTTCCTCATGTCGCCCTGTTCCGCATCTTGGTTCATGTGGTGGCCTACGTGGTCGAGCTGGTGGCACTGCCATTATTTCATCGTGGCTTATCCAACCCTATCCGGCACCTTTGCCTGAAGAGGTTGACAGATCTTCGCGCTTGTGTGATGGCATTTGCCGGCTTGGCTTTGGGAACTCTATCTATGTGGCTGTCATCTATGGGGTTAACTCATAAGTCACATGAGAACCCTATGGCCCTGCTTCATGCGGTTACGCAAACTGCGGTTCGGCGCACCCTGGCCTTCAAGGGCCCAGCTCTCATCATGGGTGATATGAATGTGGATCTGGCTGAGCTTCCACATGGGGAAGTGCTTCAGGTGAATGGTTGGCATGATCTTGCACAAAGGCACTGTGACATTTTCGGTGGCTTACCAGATATGGAATAGCAATGGGGTTGCACGGAAGACCTTTTTGCTTGCAAACACATCCCTGGCCATGTCTATGACAGAATGTCGCACGCCATGTCTATGACAGAATGTCGCACTACAAAGCTTCATACTTTCAATGCGCACCCTGTTCTTGAGGCTTCCTTTGATCTTGATACCATGAGCCATCACAGGGTCATTTGGAGCCTCCCTCGCGACTCTCGTGAACTTCTGGTCGATCCTGACCGGTTTCGCACCTGCAGTGACAGTGTTTGTGCCCAACAGGGAGGCCGATTCTCTAGGGCTTGTGATCGAGGGGATCCAGATGAAATGTTGCTTGCGTTCTGCTCGGCCTTTGAGAAGAGCCTACGCGCTAGCACTGTTTCCACAGACGGAGAGCCGGTACACCTCTCACGGGCTTTTCTTGGGAGGTGCAAGAAGCCACTTTTCCGGAAGATGAATGCTGTTGCCCCGCTCGTTAAGCAAGGTCGTTGTGATGACTTTCAGTCCTGCCTTCTTCAACCCAGCTGGCATTTGCGATCACAGATCAAACAGCTTCGACGCTTGAATAGTCTTCTTGGTTTGCTACGCAGTGTGGATAGGGGTGAGACCAAGACTACTCTGGCTCATTGTGAAGAGCTTTGGCGGGCGATTCTTTCTGCCAGGGGTTTTCATCAGGGTTTGCAACCTGGGCGCTTACACACCTGCGTATCTTTGTGCCAGCTTCACTTCCTGCACGTTGCTTCGTGGATGTCCTCTATGCGGAGATGACAACTGTGGTGCGTACAGCTGAGCAACATGTTCGTCTTCTGGAGTGTCGTTCCCTGGCTACGGCTATGAGGGCTGATTGTTCGAAGGGAGGTGCTCGGGCCTACTTTTCTGTGCGTGAATTGCCCACCACCTCTGACTGCCTTGGCCACCTCGCATTTAGAAGAGTTCGTTGGCCTAAGCTTGGTCTGCAAGTCCTTCAATGTCATGAAAGTGTCAAGCAGTTTGTACCCGGCTTGCCCATTTGGTTTCAGGAACAAAGAGGCGATTGTTGAGGCTGTGAAAGACAACCTTTTGGTTTTTGACAGGCCAGTCCGACTACGTTCCAGTGACATGTCTGTCCGGCAGCTGACCTACACGACAGGTGCACAGGAGATTTGTGATCAGGTTGGTGAAGCCTGGTTGCAGGACCTTGGCATGATTCGTGGCACTTTGCTTGACTGGTTATTTGCAATTTTCCGTGCAGCGGAGAGTGAAACAGGGTGGCCTCAGCGATTGCTTGCTGCCAAAGTTGCGTTGCTTGCCAAGTTGGAGCTGGTCCCCACGGACCCTTTGCAGACACGACCTATAACGATCATTTCCCGGCTCTACAGATCGTGGTCCAAATACCGCTCCACGCAAGTCCTGGATTACCTCCGCGATATAGTCCCTGCTGCTGTGGGAGGTGGCCTTTCGGGCACCAGTGCCGACATGCTATGCGCCCTGACCCTCTGTCGACTTGAGGAGGCCCGTGCAGAGGGCTACCAGCTCTGCGGTGCAGTTCTGGACGACATCGCGAAATGCTATAACGCAATCCCACGGGTGCCCCTTCTGGCTTTGCTGGTCCCACTGGGTCTTCCGAGGGAGTACATATATGATTTCGCAGGGGCCCTTGAGCAGCTTGTCCGGCACATCGAGGTCTTGGGGCACGTGTCTGCAACTCCTGTTCCGAGTTCTACAGGGATACCGGAAGGCTGCGCTTTTTCTGTCGCATGCATGGCGGCCATCTCTTATTTGGCCTCCGTTGTTGTTGAACTACTGAGCCCGCCTTTTATGCGGATAACTGGGGCCTCTTCGCCACAGATGCGTTGGATTTACAGGCAAGCCTCTCCAAGCTGACTGAACTCATCCGGACATGGCAAATGCAGATTGCAGTGGATAAGAGTTGGGTTTGGGGATCACACCCAACTGTGCGGAAGTCCCTACGTGATGTTGCAGTGGAGGGGCAGTCCTTTCCTCTTCGCTATGATGCTAAGGACTTGGGGTGCGACATGGCTTACACTGGAAAGGTTTCCAAGAAGACTTTGACTCGCCGTTGGTCCAAGGCGAAGACTGTTTTGGGGAGGCTTCGTGGCAAGCGCCTTATTCCCAAGACATTCACATCTTCTATTGCCAGATCTGCAGGGTTGGGTGCTGCTCTTTATGGTTCTGAGTTGACTCATTCCACCCATTTGCAGTGGAGGACCTTACGCAGTGCAGTGGGCAAGAGCCTACATTATGCTGGTGCTGCTGGTTCGACATTGCTTGCTTTGGCTGTCTTTGAACCTGACCTTGATCCACAACGTGCACGTATACTGCGGGTCTGCAAGTTCTGGCGCCGAGTTTTTCGGGTCTTTCCAGGCCTGCGAAGTTCCTTCTGCAAACGGTTGGTTGGGGGCATGAGTTGCCAATCCTGGTCCCAAGCTTTGCGTAAGACCTTCTTGGCCATTGGTGTTTCATGCGAGCATGAGGGTTTGATCACTATTGACTCTGGTCTCCAATGCTCATGGCTTGTCGACAGTTGGCAGTCAGTTGTTCTGTTCATCGACATTGCTTGGAGGCATCATGTTTGTGCTTCGTTACAAGACAGGAAGGACTTTGACCTGCTGACCTTCGAACCAGGTCCCTGCCGACAGAGTTTGCGCTCCCTTTCACCTCAAGAAGGGGGGATCCTCAAAGTCATTTGCGGTGGGAGAAACGTCACGAATGACATCATCAGCAAATATAGTGCTGCTGTTCCGATTTCGGCTTGCCCCAAGTGCACATTGGTGGACGGGAAGACCCACCGCTTGTTTGCTCGCGCGGGTCACCGGCCCTTTATTCACCAAAAAAATTCAATCACCTAGATCAGAGAAGGATTAGATCAGAGCAGGGTCGCATGAAATTTTATGTTTTTTTATTTTTTTGCATTTTTCACATTTTTTAATCAATTTTCCACTTTTTTCATCATATTTTCACATTTTAAAACATTTTTTCACATTTTTCACTTTTTTTTCATTTTATTTTTTGTTTTAAGAAAAGTTACTATTTTTGGGGAAAACACCTCAAACACAACATGGTCCATCAAATTGTGATTCTTGGGGAGAAGTTATCCTAACAACTGAACACATTTGACGATGATGTCATCCACCACGCGCAGGACGAACCTTAGACGACAGAAGTTACTAAGTGGAAGTTGCTTGACATACGTCACTGAGCGGGAAATTAAGGCATCTGGTAGACGCTGGTGGTGCTGGACACCATCCTCTTGCAGCTCTGCCACTGCTGTTACAGCAGACGACTCCTGCTGCAAAGGAATGCCTGCAGCCTTGGGCGGGACAGTAGACGACGACACCTGCTCATGCTCATCTTCTGACGTGTAGGTGTCACCTTCCCCCACCTGAGACTGAGGTGGGTGGAACATCTGCTGAGGCATCATCCCACCATACATCTGGGGCATCATAGGACCACCAAACATCTGCGGCATCATACCTCCAGGCAACATAGGCGGCGCCCCACGAGCCTTTTTCTGTGCCCGGTTCACTGCACTGCGCACCGACATGGCAACAGCACGGTCTAGTCAGACACAAGACGTTTGAGAAGACAGCTGACTGCAGCAGTCATATCACGCTCCAGTTCGCATGTACAATTAAATTTGTGCATGTTTTTGCATATTTTTGCATATTTTCTCATGTTTCGAGATTTTTCGAGATTTTTTGAGATTTTTTGAGTTGTTAAAAATTATTTTCCCTTTAATCCCCTCGAGATTTTTTGAGATGTTTCGAGATGTTTCGAGATTTTTCGAGATTTTTTGAGATTTTTTGAGTTGATTTCTGCTAAGATTTTCATTTTATTTCAAGATTTCTTTTTATTGTTGAGATTATAGCTTACAGCAGACTACAGCAGACAGTAGGTTCACAGCAAGGACACAAAACAATTAACTGTGAAATAAGGTCAAAAATGGTCCAAAGTCATCTATACTATCAATTTCTGACCTAAGTGGTGCACCATGGTTCAAAAACATGTACAAACATATCTGGTTTAACTTTCTCAAACCTTTAAACAAATAGGTTCACCAAGTGCTCACAAACTGTTCATCGTTGAGATTATGAGTTCATCCATGCAACCCCGTTTTAGTCACATGTTAATCCAATTTATGCCCAATGGGTTCTCACAAGTTCTTACGTGTCCAAACGTTGGCCATGTTATGTTTTTAATCATTTTTTATCATTTTTTAACATTTGTTTATCATTTTTCTCATTTTTTATCATTTTTTCATTTAAAACATTTTTTGCATTTTTTTATCATTTTTTTTAATTAAAACATTTTTTGCATTTTTTTGCATTTTAAATCTCTTATCGAGATTTTAAATCTTATTGGAAAGTATTCCATTCCAAGAACTCTCCGGTGCAGGGTATTGAATTTTTTGGTGATTTATTGAAGGCAGACAACCATTGGTGAAATGGATGCATCAGCAAGCTCGTGCCACTTTGCACTACGGTTTGTGCCCTGACGTGGAGGCCTTCTTCTTGTTGAAGCAGCAACAAAATGTCACCTTTCCTGACTTGGTTGTTCCGCAGGACCGAGACTTCCGGGACATCTACACAGATGGGACCAGAGTTGTCCACAATGGGCGATCCAAATTGTTATGTCGTGGGCTTGTACCAGGACTCGAACAAAGTCCGTATCGTGGTGAGTGCTTCGCAATTTTGCAATCTCTCCAACATCGATTCGCTTGTCGTTTGCACTTGGACTGCGCCGCTGCGTTACAACTTCTGCAGACTTTGTTACGCAAAAGGAGGACCTGTGATCCATACAAGCATGCTGGACATGACGACATTTGGCACAGGATTTGGTGGCATTTGTTGCAGCGTCCACCTGACACCATATCCTGCACCAAGGTCAAAGCTCATGTGCAATGGAAATTGTTGGATGATCCTTGTCTGCGCGAACAAGGCAGATTGAATGATCTTGTGGATCGCGACGCCAAGCAGGCTGTTGTTCTTGATCATCGTGATCTTTTCCAGAGGTTGGAACGGGGGCGCAATGACCATGTCAGACAAGCTGACTTTAATGTCAAGGAGTTGCACAGCTTTTGGACTTGGTCAGGCAAGGCGGCTTTGGCTGAGCACCCTCCTCCTGAACAGTTGTTGGGTTGGGTTATGCCTACTCCAGACCAAGTTCAACCAAGAGGGCGTCCTTTGGATATACTGGCACTGGACCCTGCCGTGCTCCTTGATGCGGGGTTTCCTTTTGGTGACACCTTTTGTCAACGTCTTTGTGCCTTTTGGAATGATTTGGTTTGGATTCGTGATTCCACAGCCATCAGCATGGTGGAGTTGTATGTCGCCTTTACAGGTACCACAGGCAACTCGGTCCCTGTACGCATCTGTAAGAAACCGCTGACATGGGCTCTGCGGGATCCGAACGTCCTGGCTGACATTACACCCACTGGCTTGGGTGCGCAAGCGCGCACCCGGCGTATGGTTTGGAAGTGGATTCAAGGTGTAACCCCTGCTGCCTTCCCTGGGCCTTGGGTCGATCGATGTGACTCGCTTCACCTTCTTGGCTACAAACGGTGTTTTCTCGGCCTTCCGTGCCGTCCAGTCTTGCCGTACACGACCTTTCAACAGCTGTGGCGCTACCTCCATCCACCTGGAGGGAACATGCACACACTGGCCAAGGCTTGGTTCCCTTTTCCTCCGGGCGCTGTAGGTGGAGCCTGAATTATAGGAATGCTCTTTCGACCCTCCTGCACCTCTCACGCTATGCTGGGGAGGTTCAGACAGCTCAAAACGAGCTGAGACAAGAAGCAAAGCCGCAAAGCCCGTTGGTTGGGGGTCCCCTTATAAAAATACACACCCGTGTATACTTTTAAGCACATTCACTCTACAACTTGAGTAGTTCTTACTTACCATGCTATTTTCATGTTTCATATTGTTTAATTGCTCTTTTTGTGTATTTGTGATTCTTTGTCACCCAACTGCGAGCACAAAGGAAACCCTGAGCTTGCCATGGACTTTTTTTGCTTGCTGCTCAGATCTTTGGAGCCTTTTCTGAAGAAAACTGAGAACACACTCCAACCACATGTGCCCTCATGCGCCATCCGCTCCCATCCTCACTCCATGCCACATCCACACAACCCATGCCACACTGGACACGACCACCTCCCCAAGATTCCAGGTCTCTGCTCTGTGCGCCGCGATTTGGCGGCTCATCGTTTTTGGCGCGTTCACCGTTGACCTACGTTTCTTCCATCGCTCGAGGAAAGATCTGAGCTTCCGCTCCGCCAATGGGAGGAGGATTGCAAGGCCAAACGACACCCGGCCGACTGGTGCCAGGAGGGCAAATCGTTGCTCAACCTCAGTGAACTTGACTGGGGAGAACAAGACACTGTTTTCTTTTTTTTCTGGGGTGCGGTGTGAACACAGGCTGAACGAGGGAAACCCTGAAGCTCCAATTGGGGTGGGTTGTATTTGACGGGCGATGACATGGCCCCAACAAGGGGTCTGCGGCGCCAGCAAACCATGTTCAGGTGTCAGGAATGTATCAGGTTTTTCTTTTCATGGATGTTGTACTTGAGGTGTTTCAAAGGAAATACTATTACATGGTATCACGTATTAACTATCCAGAACTTGTACACAGTAATTAAGCCTCTTGTGAGAATAGTTCGGAAGTACTCCAGTCCAATTTGTGTAGGTAAGACATTGCAAAACAATGTAACACACCTATCTAAGCTCAACATGTTGACCGTTTCACAGATCTCTCGAGTTCGCGAGAGGTTCTCCCGGGTTTTCACGGTGGACGGTGGAGGGTACGGTGGAACGGAGATAGTTCAGATTGGCTCACGAGTTTCATGAAACATGCGGACTGTTTGAAAACACTAACATGCGGACTTTTTGAAAACACTACCAAGACATACCAAGACCAATGGAACCCCTGCCCAAACCAGTCCATCCGTGAAGGAGCCACTCTTGGTGGGTCACGCAGGCTCGAGTGAGATCTCGGATGGAACTCCTTTTTTGATCTCTTTTCTGTATTTCCTTAAACTCATCTGTTGTCGCGTGTATTCTGCACCGTCAAACACAGGTGGCCCATCTGTACCATTTGGACGCATGTAGATTCAGCATGCTTCCAAGAGCAATCAGTGTCCCAGGTTTTCAAACTCATCAATCAAACATATCAAACCCATTGAATTGGAAAGTCCTCTTCATATGAGGGGTTCCTTAATCAAGCGTCTACATTAAAGTACGGACACCTTGGGAACTGCTTCAGAACCTGGAAGCACAACAAACCCTTCACTTCAACATACTTCAACGGTGCATGTGTTTTGCATGTTTTTTCCGTTGAGTCGGTGACTCTTCCTCACGCCTTTTCCGTTCCAACCCCCAAATAATCCCATCCACGTAGTATAAAAACACGGCCCCCCTATTAACAAACATTCGGGTGCATTTTTTTAAATAGGGGGTCCTCGAAATCGGGGGTGTCCAAAAAAAGGTCAGTGGGAGGACCCTTGAAACATTGATTGATTGCATTTAAAAAAAGGTTTGGTGGCAGGCGCAGCGCCTTGTGAAGCGTGAAATGCAGATTTCGTACAAAAACCTGGGAAGAGTTTCAAAACCAACAAGTCACCCAAGAAAATGTTTATGGAATCCTTTATTAAGTTCGTATCAAAAATAACGAAGCCACCAGATCGAATGTCTTCCTTTTCCCCTTGCAAAAGCCTTTGTTAAAATCGCTATTCTTCATTAGACTTTATGATTTGGCGCTAATAAAAATATCCACCAAAATCGGCCATTTTGGTAGTTGTTTTTGGAAAGGCCATTAAAAGGTACTCGGGATTACTCTCGATATCTCTCGATCCTCA